CGCCGCCAGCCGCTCAACCTCGGGGCCGTCTTTCTCCTCGAGTCTCCGCGCGGCGGCATCCCGTCGGCCCTGCAGACTCCAGCGTACATGGCCCTTTCGCCAAAGCGGTCGGCCTCGCCCAGCGCCGCCAACGGCTCTAGCTGGGGTACCGACGCGCGCACAGCCTTCTGAAAACAGGCGCTCGCTCCGCTCACCTCATCACCGCCAAACACACACACACACACACGCGCGCACGCGCTTTCATTTCACACCAAGCACCGACTCGGCGACCATGCCTGCCACGTCGTACGCCACCACAAACATGCTCGTCACTGTCACCAGCACGTCGTCGTTGGCCGCTGGCAGCGTGGTCCGCGCCATCGGGCCGCGCGATCCAACCTTGTGCAGGAGGTGGCCTGTCGCCGCCGAGTACACGCCGACCTGCGGCGAGTTGGCGGCGTTGGCGACCACCACACCCGCGTCCGCCGCTACCGCAAACGCCTGTGCAAACAGCGGGCGCGAGGACGCCATCGCCGCCGCGCCCACGCCCTCGTCTCCGTCGTCAGCCTGCCACCCGCGCGCCCCAGGAGTCTCAAATCCCACGCTCGGCCTCGTGCTCTCACCGTCCCATCGCAGCAGGCTGCAATCGGCTGCGCACGAGATAACTCCTCCTGCATACGCCTCTACTTGCAGCACACGCGCCGAGTGCGACCGCAGCACCGCACACGGCCCGGCTGTCAGTGCCCGTGGATCGAGCGTCACGAGGCTGCCGTCAAAGCCGCCCGCCACCACGCACCCGTTCTCCATCTCCACAAGGCACGAGACCATGTCGGAGCAGACCTTGGCCACCGCCGCTGGGCCTTGAGCCAGGGACGCCCGCAGATCCCACACTGCAACTGTGCCGTCCGCCGAGCCACACGCCACGGTCTGCGGCTCAAACTCGGCGAGTGTCCATGCCATCGAATCCAGCTGTGCTGTGGCATCCGTCACCGCCCCAGTCTCGGCGTCAAGTACAAACAGCTCCTTGGCCCGCGACGACGCCACCGCCCTCCCACCCACAGGCACAACCCGCCGGAGCCAGTCGTCACTGCACGCCGCCGACCAGCCGTGGCTTGGCCCGTCATCGCTCCCGAGAACAGTAAAGCAGACTCGCCCATCGGCGCCGGCCGACACCACACCCTCGTCGCCCCACAGCGCCATCGAGTTCATCTCGGAAAAGTGCGCACCGACCTTGCGGCACTTGCCCGTGTCCAGATCGGCCACATGGACCGCCTCGGCGCCGAGCACCACCTGTCGACCCACCACCTCAACGTGGCTGATGGAGCCAAGCCGTGCCGTTCCCACCACGTTGGTGTGCGCGTCCGCCAGCCGCAGCACCTCGTCGTCGTCGTCGATCTCGTCCGCATACATGGCCGGCTTGCGCCCTCCTGACCGCAGCATACCGTAGTACCACGCCCGTCGCCGCGCACGCACCATGCTGCCACACAGCTCGTCGAGCGGGCCCAGCTCGGCATCCACCGCCACCCCGGTCGCTCGCGGAATCATGCCCTGCAGGATCCGGCCCCACAGCAGCGCATCGCGGGCAATGGCCCGCAGCCGCGAGCACGTCCGTCCTACCCGCGCCACCTCGACCGGTCCGCACCACTCCAGCACCAGCAGCACCAGCTCGGTCGGGAGCGACTCGAGCATGTCCTGCCTCTTCTCGCCGCCTCGCCCTAACTGTCGACGAGTGGCTTGAGCCCGCAGCTGCCGCCTGGAGTCTCGGGCCGCATCTGCTGCAACCCGTGCTGCAACCCGTGCTGCGACTCGGGGTGCGCAACCGATGGTGCGCCGGAGACCACTTGATCCAGCAACCATGTACCATGTACCTCCGTGCGCCCACTCCGTTCCGCTTCCTCATCCCACCCAGTCCCGGCCACCATCCTTGCATCCATCCCTCCATCCATCCATCCATCAGTCGGACTTGGCTCTGGCCGTGCGCCCGTCCCGTGGCGATCACCGACCTGTCGACGCCGCCACCCCACCACCACCCCACCACCACCCCACCACCGCACACACCACCACCACACATTCACTTTCCCCTCACACACACATGGGCTGTCGTCAGTCCACACAGACGGCACCAGGCAGCTCGGGCGAGTCCCTGGCGCCCATCCTCCCGCCGCTACCCGTCCGGGCCAACGACCGCGAGCGCAAGTCGCGCCACTCGCCAGCCGACTCGCCGCGGATTGAAGCCGAGCCACTGGTTGATGGCGACGACGGCGGGAAGGACGAGGCCGCAGGGGGATCGGTGTCTGAAGTTGTGGTTGCGGCTCTGCCCTCGCTCCGGAATGCCACCCTCAACACACCCACCTCGCCCACCTCACCCTCCTCGCCCAGCCTCACCCCTGTTGACCGGGCGAGTCAGCTCGAGGCCGAGCTCGAGTTTATGGTCCGCCTGGTCCAGCTCAACGAGCTCACCGATCGCGCCATCGAGGAGGCCATCAACAAGCGCATGCCGCTGCGCCACATTCTTCGGACCGTGGTCGGTCTCGCCTGCCACTATCTCGGCGCCTCGGCCGCGCACCTGCGGACCTACAACGAGCAGCTGGTCCTCTCCTCGTTTTCCTTTGTGTACTCGGCTCCCGGCGCGACCGCCACCCCGCCACACGGCCGCTTTGATCCCGAAGCGTGCATCCCCATCGATCCCGAGGTTGCCGACGTCTCGGTCTGGTGGCCGGTCCCGGTCGCCGATGTCTACGCCGCCACCATGCGCCTCGGCGACGGCGAACTGTACGTCGACCGCGGCGAGACGCCGACCGGCACGCCGCTCACCCTCCTTGGCCAGGTCATCGACGTCGCCGGCGAGTCGTTTGGCATGGTCGCCTTCTCTTTCTCGGCCGCGCTCGTCGAGGCCGAGATCCTGCAGGCCAAGGCCCTGCTCCGCATTTGGGTCGAGGAGCTCGACAACCACCTGGCGTCCATCGCCACGCTCCGCCGCAAGCACATGGTCTCCAAGTCAATGTCCGACGCTCTCAAGCTCCCGGTCCTCTCCGACGGCCTGCAGGCCGCCACCGACATCCTCCTCGCCGCCGTCCCCATCGCCAACATGGTCCTAGCCTTTACCTTTCAGGGCGACTCGCTCAACACGCTCCACTACAAAGTCATCCTCTCCGGCTCGCTCGTCCATGACTCGCGGACGCTCGAGCCGGGCGCGTCGCAGCCCGAGGCCGCTATCTCGCCGGTCGAGTACTCGGTCCACGACTTTTTCATGTCGCACCTCGAGTCGCTCGCCCGCTTTGACGTCGAGCCGGTGCTCGCCAAGTTCCGATCCGCCTTTTCGCACTCGTACGAGGCCCAGCCGGTGTGCGGGGAGGGCTCGGCGTATGTCGGCCTCTGCATCGCCTCCAAGGTCTCTGGCGATGAGTTTGGCACCTTTGATCTCGAGGTGCTTGACCGCTACGTCGACGCCATCTCCACCCGCATCGTCAACAGCTCCGGCGAGTGGAACCGCCTCTCCACCTGGTTCTCCGTCGACATCGTTCGCGAGCTCCTCACTGCACCCGAGCGTGCCTCGCTCCTTGCGCCGCAAGAAGCCAAGGTCGCCGTCCTCACCTGCGCCCTCGCCAACGCCTCCTCGCTCTCGTCGACGCTTCTGGCCACTCCCGACGCGCTTGCCACCTTTGTGGACGTCTGGACTTCGGGCGTGTCAGACATTATTTGGGCAACTGGCGGCGTGGTTGCCACTGTCGGCTCCGGCGATCTGGTCGCCGTCTGGGGCCCGCCATTCTTCCGCGCATCGCCGACTCTATCGGCCTCGGGCGCCCTCACTGCCGCGCTCCTCGTCCGCGACTTTGCCGCCTCGCTGGGCACCCATCCCAAGCTGGCGCCGCTGCTGGCGTCAACGGGCGGGCGGCCGACCGAGCTGGCTTTTGCCCTCCACCACGACCTCGTCGTCGCCGGCGCCTTTGGTCCCGCCAAGCGCTACACCGCCTTTGGTGCCGCCGTCGACCACGCCGCCCGCCTCCTCACCCTCGCCCCGCCCAACTCTGTCCTTGTCACCGACGCCTTTAAGGCCCTCCTGCCGTGGCCCTTCCGACACCCACAGTTTGGCTCCGTCTGCGTCTCGGACCTGCTCTCCGGCTCTCCTCCTGCATCGCCCGACGCAAGCCTCTACTACCATGAGGTGGTACTCCAGCTCCGCCGCGACCGGGCCGGTACCCTCACCCGTCGCCGCGGCTCCGGAACCCTTCCGTCGCCGGGCGCAGCAGTCTCGGACGTGACTGCCTTCGACGCCTCGCTCGGACTCGCCTCCGACTCGGTCCCGGCGCTTGCGCCTGCCGAGCCGGCCGCACTCGACGGCCAGCACTCGTCAAACTCGTCCGGCTCGCCGCACATCACCCCGCGCCCGCCGGCTGGCTCTGACGACGGGCCGGGCTTGGATGACGGCTCTTCGGCTTCTTCGTCGGGCGAATACATGGCGTTCTAAGCTCACGACTTGCCCAGCGGCGAGTTCCCGCGCGGAATCGGTGGCGTCCGCCCGGCCGAGTAGTCGAACGACGCCCGCCGCATGAACGGATCCATGACACCCGCCAGCAAATGCGCCTGCAGCGGTGGCGAGTCCGAGACCCGCATCGAAGTAAACTCCTCGTCGAACATCGAGGTGTCGTCGTCGCCGGCAACGTTGGGCACCCACGGCGGGCTCACCTCGAGTCGGAGCAGCGCGTCAAAGTCGATGTCGGCGTACCACGGGTGAGCAGTGACCTCGTCAACGTCGCCACCCTTGCCGCCGAGGCGGTAGTTGGGTGACCGCTCAAGGAGAGAGCCCACAAAGGCCGCGGCTTGCTCCGAGAACAGAGTCGGGTCCAGGGGCAGCTCGTGGTGGAGAATGAGCCGGAACGTTTCCTTCCGGTCATCGTGCTGGAACGGCGGCTCGCCCACAAGCATCTCGTAGACCAGGATGCCGAGCGCCCACCAGTCGGCCCGCATGCCGTAGCCGACCCGCAAAATCATCTCGGGCGCCACGTACTCTTCCGTCCCGCACATCTCCAGCAGCTCGTCATCCGACGTCACGTTCTCCTTGCACAGGCCAAAGTCGGCGAGGCAGATGTGGCCAGACGACTTGATGAGCACGTTTTCCGGCTTGAGGTCGCGGTACGCAATGTTAAGCGAGTGCAGATAGCCGAGCGCGAGCGTCAACTCCGCCGCGTAGAACTTGACCCGTGCCTCGTCAAACTTGACTTCGCGGTCGAGGTGGAAGAAGACCTCGCCGCCCGAAACGTAGTCAAAGACAAAGTAGAGCTTGTCCTTGGTCTGGAACGAGTAGTACAGGTGGAGGAGGAACGGGTGATCCGTCCGTTGCAGCACATGCCGTTCCGCAATGGTGTTGGCCACTTGCTTCTGCTTGATGATGAGTCCCTTGGAAATCGACTTCATGGCGTACACCGTCTCGCTACCCTTTTTGCGGACGAGGAAGACCTTGCCAAACGTGCCTTTGCCCAGGACCTTGATGAGGTCAAAGTCGTCCATCGAGACCTTGACTCCTGGCCGCGGTCCACTCCGCGCCACCTCCTTCAGCGCCTCGGCCTCGCGCTTGCGCTCCGCAATCGACCGCCGCTTGGCGTTTTTCGACGCTCCCGCCGAAATCGACGACGCACGCCCACGCTTCACCGCCGGCGACAGCACTGCATTGCCATCGTCGCCAAGTCGGACCACCGCCGACGAGGTGTTGAACTCGGACCGTTCAAGCTCGTCGATGGCCGCGAGCTGGAGCACCCGGTCACGCCCGGTATTCTCCCACTCTTGCACTAGCCGGAGCGGGACCTCAAAGTTGCGCAAATGCGCCTCGACCTCGCCGTCGACCTCGCGCTGGTACAGCCGGTACTGCGCTGCATCGCCCGGGAGCGAGTGCTGAGCCACAAACCGCGCCACCACATCGCCGGCCGTGTCCGACTCGGAGACCGCGAGCGTGTGCGGTGCGTCGTTGTAGTACACCAGCAGCGCAGAGCCGCCGCCACCGCTGTCGGCCGACGAGATAAAGACCGGAGGAAGGTCGAGGACAGAGCCCGAGTCGTCGAGCGACGGCGACGACGACGAGCCCACAAGCGGGCCGTCCTCCAGCACCGTCAGCCGGTCCGAGAGCAGCTCGATGACGTCGGCGTACTTGCCGACCTGCTCTTCAAGCTCCTTGACGCGCACCTCGAGCGCCTCGCGAAGCATGGTCTCGTTCTCCAGCTTGAGCGAGAGCTTGTCCATTACACTCTTGTCTACCAGAAACATGTCGTCCATAGGCACAGCCGTCACCTCTATGCCGAGCTTCTTCTTCTTCCGCCGCCGCGGCGACGACTTGGCCGACCTGCCGCCACCCTCGCTGCTCCGCCCGGTGGGAAGGCCCGAGAGCCGAACCGAGCGCCGCTGTGACCTGCGCCGCGAAATCGACTCGCGCTTGGAGCGCGACGCCGCCCGCGCCCGCTGCTGCTGCTGCATCGCCTCGGCTGCAAGCGCCGCGGCCTCGGCAACAACCTTTGGCTGGTGCGACTCCCACGCAAGCGTTACGTCGGACTTGGCCACCATGTGAATGTCGCCGGCAGCGTCCTCGCCGCGGACCTCGCCCTCGATCTCGCGCGCCGCGAGCTGGCCCGGTGTCCCTACCACAAGCAGCGGCGTGCCGAGCTCGAGCGCATTGCCTGCGCTCACCACCGCCAGCGCCACATACGGCGAGACTGGATCGGCGTCGAGTGGCGCAAAGACCGTCGGATCGTGGACATACTCGTCGATGAGGGTGCGAACAAAGCTTCGCCCGCGCCTGTTCCGCCGGACCTGGTCGCGTGTCGCCTCTGCCGACGGCCGGATGAGGCCCCAGCCGAGCGCGTCCATCATTGCCTTGGCTGTCACCGCCCGCGACTGCTGCCACACATGTGCTAGCACCTGGGCCACCGCCTTGAGAAGCTGCCGGCCCTGCCACGACATGATCGTCGCCAGCACCGTCCGCAGCTTGACCGTCCGCAGCGGCGACGCAGGCTCTTCGCACAGCTTCATCACCAGCTCATAGTGCTCAGCAGGCACCAGCGGCAGCGGCAACTCGTCCATATACACTCGCACTACCCCCATGAGCTGCGCAGGCCCAGCCGTGTCTGTCACCCCCATCGCCCCCGCCCATTCGCTCGCCGTGAGTCAGAAGTCGCTGGCCGCTCCCCTCCCCTCCCTTGCTCCCTCTTCCCCCCACCACGTACGCGGCAGCATGCGCAACGAGACTAGTCCATGCGGCGGAGGATCTGTAAACAACTTTGTACGCAGAGCGGTGAGGCGGGAGCCGACACAGTCAAAGGCGTCCGAGTTGGACATGTCTGCGCCGGCAAGAGCCGTCAGCGCCTCGTGGACCACCATGGCCACCCCCGTCCTGCCCTCCAGCAGGCGAGCGGGGACAGCCTCCACCGCCACTCCAAACGGTGCCACAGCCGCAACCTTGGTCGGGACCGCACTTAGCCGTCCACTCCGTGACATCCTTGCCTGTCTGTCCACGGGAGTCGAGTCTACTCCACCCTGCCCTGCCCTGCCCTGCCCTGCCCTGCCCTGCCCTGCCCTGCCCTGCCATGCCCTCTCCCTGGAAATGTGGCAGAAACCTGTCTTTTTGCGTCACTCGGCACACGTACGACGCATGGCAATTAATTGGCTGGCACCCGGGACGGGCCACGGCCTGGGCTGGGTGGCTACTGGTCCACGAGGCAGGACGCTTCTACGCTCCATCCCATCAGCCGCACTCATGTGCGCGTGCGTTCAAGGCAGACCACGCCGCGCCCGGTCCGTCAGCTCGTCGGATACGGATCGGCATCAAAGAGCGCGGTCGTAAAGGCCTCGTAGTCAAAATAGTCACCCTATTACCCGGATACCACTGCCCTGCCCTGCCATGCCCTGCCCTGCCCTGCCATGCCCTCTCCCTGGAAATGTGGCAGAAACCTGTCTTTTTGCGTCACTCGGCACACGTACGACGCATGGCAATTAATTGGCTGGCACCCGGGACGGGCCACGGCCTGGGCTGGGTGGCTACTGGTCCACGAGGCAGGACGCTTCTACGCTCCATCCCATCAGCCGCACTCATGTGCGCGTGCGTTCAAGGCAGACCACGCCGCGCCCGGTCCGTCAGCTCGTCGGATACGGATCGGCATCAAAGAGCGCGGTCGTAAAGGCCTCGTAGTCAAAATAGTCAGAAGCGTTTGGGCAAAACTCCGAGAGGACCTCCTCGATTTCGGCGGCCGAAAACGTGCCCGCGAGCCGGTGCACAAGATGCTTCTTCAGCTCGCGCTTGCGGACAAGCCCGGCCTCTTGCGTCGCCGACGAGAAGACCCGGAAGGCTTCCAGAACAGAGTCGGACGAGAGAGATGGCGCGATTGAGCCCGAGGCAAACTGGCAAAACTCGGCAAAGGTCAGCGGATTGTCGACGCTGATCGAAGGCGCCCGCGACCGCCTCCCTCGCTGCCGGGCTGTATGCGGCGGCGAGCTTGGCGAGCCTGGTGACTGCGGACTCTGCGGGCTCCGTGGGCTTCGAGGGCTATGTGGGCCGCTGATCAGCGGTGGCGACCCGCTGCCGTCGCGCTGCGCCTGCTTCCGCTCCGCCAGCAAGTGCATCCACGAGTTGTTCAGGTCGCGAAGCTCGCCCATGCCTGGAACCACCAGCCGCCGCGGGGACGCCTCCGGTACAGACAACGTACTCGCTGCCAAGCCAGCCTGCCCGCCATCATCACCGGCGCCCGACTCCGCCTTGCTGGTCAGATCTGCCGCCAGCCTTCCCAACCGCTCCGGATACGCAGCAACGATGCCGCGGATCTCAGCGTCCATGTATCCGACAAGCTTGAGCGCCAGCGGCAGGTCGCGAACCGGCAGAAGCAGCTCGCCCTTCCCGTCCGGCGGCGGAGCAACCGCTCTGCCATCGCTGGTCTCCACCGGCCCCGCCACTGCCGTTCCCGCCCCCGCCACCATCCCGGTCCCAACAACGCCACCACCGCCGCCACTCCCACCAGCGCCAGCGCCTCCGCCTCCGCCGCCGGCGCCTCCGTTGTCAGACCCGGCCTTGTCGCCTCCGCTCGCCGCCGCCGCCATAAACGCCTCCCTCAGCAGAGCCGCCGTGTACACCGACGGCCGTGGCAGTGGCCTGCCCTCGCCTTCGCCCACATCGGCCACCTCTGTCAGAGAGAACACCGAGTCACGCGACATGGTCTCTCCTACCGTCTCCTGCCGTCTGGCGTCAGGTGGTCCACGTCCGCGATGACCACCACGCTGACACCCTGGCACCGATGACCAAGGCCTGTCAGCCGACAGCACACCCGGCCACCTCCCAGATGCCTGCCCATCGCAATCTCAAGCCATTCAGTCCCCCCTCCCCCCCCCCCGCCCGCTTCCTGTGTCTAACTCGTGGACCTGCTGGTTTAGGCCTCGCGTTATCGAAGAATCGTCAAGCTCTCTGGGCGCGTCGAGCGCAGTCGGGTGAACCTAGGGCGCCTCTACCGATGCAAAACCTGGTCGGATTCGATGGTGTGTGTTGAATTCCTATGATGTAATCCAATCCGATACGCTCTTTCGCGATGATGAAGACATGGTAGATTCCCAAAATATATGTGGAAAACCTACTTGATGATCGGGGGAATCGACTCCGGGGATGCATCGCGCTTCCAGACATACCCTTCACGAA